TCTGTTATTCAGCTTAACATTTCCTAAATTAAGTATTTACTAATAATTCAGAGATGACTCTGCACTTAATCTAATGGGGGAAAACTGTCAGTCATGATAAGAATGCTAAAATGAAATAAAGAGCTATGTAAGATGCTGTAGATAAACTTCTTAGAAGCTCTAGCATTTAGGATGATTGTTGGTGAACAGATGAGACTTTCACATGCAAGGGTATTCTAGACCAAAGGATTTGACTGTAGAAAAAAGTGTGTATTATGTTAAAAAGCATAAAATAAGTTGATACTAGGCTTCCATCAGTCATTTTACATCTTCTGCAGCTTTAGCAGTAAAGGGTTTCTAAGACTGTCTAAGCTAGTATGTCTTTTTTGCAAAGTGACACAGGCAGTGACGTAAAGCAACATAGAGGGCGAAGAAAGGAAGTGGATGGAAAGTGAGCAGAGCAACAAATTCTTAATGGTCCAGATGAGACAGAGAAGGTATAGTGACAACAAAAATGATCAGGAGGAAAATATAGGATTTAGTAGAATGACAGAATTTTGCAAAGGGTGTGTGAAGTACTGTTTTGGTATAGGAGTATATTGAAAAAAGGTTTTTTTGTTGTTTTCCTAACCTCAGTTACCATTAAGAGTCTTTCTTTCTTGGAGCGTAGTTTAAAATGAAAGGCAGTCATATAAAGTCTAAATTGCTACCATCAATATATTTGTTTTTTAGTATGTTAATGATGGTTTTCATAACTGTTGAAATTAGCTGCCTTTTCCTCAAGACTAACTTGCATGGTTGGGGGCAAAAACAAATGAGAAGTGTCTACAAAAAAATGAAGGTACAGAAAGGTTTTGACTCTTTCCTAGGTGTTCACTAAGCTGCCAAAACCATGGATACTTGAGTCTAATGAAATTAGTTCTATCATATTTTAGAAATTGAATATTATTATTTTTTAGTTTAGTATTTTTCTTTTCATCATTCAGTCTCAGAAAAAAAAAATTGATCTTAGAAGGACTGGAAAATGGTCAGTTTGTAGATTAGAATTTAATATGGTGGAATTATTTAAGGAGACAAATATATGTATCTATTTTGACTGTCTCTATTCAGAACTTAACTTCCATGAGAGAAGGGACTTAGCATTTTCATCACTGTATTACCAGCTGCTGGGACATCTTGCACACAAAATTTCTCAGAAAATAGTGAATGGATGAAATTAGTTCTTAACCTAAGAAAAGTTATGTAGACTCATGATCTATGACACAGGAATAGCAAAAGGAAACCCAATTTTTTAATCTAGTCTTTATACATATTGATATTATTTATAATTCCATTATTCTTATGCAAATATATAGATATTTTATGTCTTAAAGTTGAATAGATTCCTCTGAAATATAGATGTGTTAGTTAATATGCTAATTATTATATTAAAATGTTAGGATACCTTTGGCAAAATTTTTACATACATAATATTCAAGGTTTCAATGTGCTGTTAGAGAATACTGTATTAAAAATCTCTTCAGTTTATTTTATTGAAAACGTCTGATTTTGTTTTTGTTTTTGTTCAGTTTTAATCGCTTGGATCTACCACCATATAAGAGTTATGAACAACTAAAGGAAAAACTTCTTTTTGCAATAGAAGAGACAGAGGGATTTGGACAAGAATGAATGTGGCTTCTTGTCTTGGAGGAGCTCTTGCATTTAAATACCCCAGCCAAGAAAAATTGCACAGATAGTGTATATAAGCTGTTCATTCTGTACAGTTAATTTTCTGAATCTTTCAAAGTATCAATGTTTTCCGTTCTTCCACAGAAATATGCAAAACATTTCATCATTTTCTACTTTATTTATTGTTCCCTTGAAATGACTGACCAGGAAAAAGATCATCCTTAAATTTTGAAGCAAGCAAGAGAATTTATTAAGAAGTATATATCTATATAAGCATATGACAGTGGCTCTAGTTTTATAGAGCACCAGGTGTACTAAACATGGCAGCCATTCACTCACAAAGCTCTGAATTTGCTTTGCCGTGTTTCTGTTATTCAGGGGAAAGTGCAAATGTTCCATGTTCTTCTCCTTAGGTGACATCTGATTGTGTTTAGTTGCATGGCTGTTCAGGAAGGTATTTAGGGCTTAGGCCAAGTCTTTAAGTGTATTTTTAAAATGCTGCTGAATTTTCTGAAGACAAGTACTTCAATTTACCAAGTTCTAAATGAATAGATAAAAAAATTTCCCATCATTGTTATATCAGTAAACACAGAAGTCATGTAATAGATCCAATAGTGTCTAGGAGCAGCTGGAATTGATTTGGTGAGCAGCAGAGGTCTATTTACATGTTACTTTGGGATGCTGGATATTTGTGGAATTTCAAAGAATCAGGCATTTCTGTACTTAACATTTTTAAACTTGTAATGTGCTTCAAATTTAATTAATAATAAATTGATAGTTTAATACTTAGGGATATATAAAGGTACTGAACTTTGACGCTTTTGTGCTCAAGGTTTAGTTTTATGAAATTAGAGATGTAATTAAACTAAATGGATCAAAAAGCTGCATAAGTATTTAAGCATTCACAATAAGAACTTTCTATTAGTGTCTACATATCCCCCTTCCTTTAAAATTCATGAAACTTGTTTCCAAATTCAGTAGGTACATTAAAAAAATCCTTTGTGCCCCCCACTTTATATACTTCAAGTTTTCTCCAAATAACACTGATTTTCATTATGAGGGCATTCATGGTGTATGAAAAAATTTAAAATCTAATGTGAACGATACTGCTACTTTTAGCAAACTGGGCTTCCTAATTAACATAAAAATATTTTCCATTTTTATCCTTTCAATATGCACTTCAAAGTTCATTAACTTAAAATTTTGTAACTATGAAATTCACTTAGAATTACAACTTCTACTCACTAGTTTAGTTTTGCCAAGATTTTATTTTTCTACATATTTAGATTATGTTCTTCAATTTTATTCAAAATTCAGAAAGAAAAAATAAAACCAGTAATTTTCATAGTTGATAAACTACAAAAAATCTGGTTATTTTCAAGCTTAAAGAATTTTTTTTAATCCTAGTATATGACAAGTTATATAGTAGAGGATGGCCAGTCTTCAAAAGTATGCATAAATTATTCTGTAAAATAATAAACTTGCTATGATTGAAAGTATTGGCTTTCATTCAGTGGAGGTATTTGAGACTATCATTTTGCAGATATGGTTCAAGGTGGCTTTCAGGTGGGATTTCAGGGAGCTGGTTCTTTTTGTTACCTCACACTGGTAACAGCCCATAAGACCAAACCAGTTTTCTGGTGAAGACTAATTTGCAGACCTCATCAGGCCCATCTATCTTTCATATGCAGTTATATTTTTAATACATATAGACTTGTCTTATCTTCTCAGTACTGAACATAAAATCAAAGAGATGTAGTTCACCTCCTGTCTTCTCTCCTTCCCATCCCTATTCTGAACTGGACCCACTACAGTCATAACAAAATGGGAGATGAGGGAGACTCAGAGATGGGCTAATAATACATTATAATAGTGATGGTCCCAACATCACCAATAAATTGAGCCTAGGGAATGGGTCACAGGCTTAAAACAATTTTACTGGTCAACTCAGCCAACTATCTTTGGGGAAAGAACCTACTATTTGTTTTTTTGTTTTGTCCCTGTCTTTTTTTCTTTTCTGTACTTTCTAGGCAGTTGAAAATAAAAATGTAACTATTTCCTCCAGCTAACTTCACCCAGTTCTCCTGAAAACTAAATAAGGTGTTGTATATCTACTCAATTAATTACCAGACACCCTTGCTTTTGTTTGGGGTTGCAAAGACCCTAACTAAGCTGCTTCTGAACTGAGAAAGCTCCTGATGTATACTAGGGAGTGGTAATGGGGTTTCCCTGAATCTGAAAACTCTTACAATCTTATGCCCTGAGCTGTCTCTTTAGGAGACTCTGGTTCTTGGAGAACCATGTAGATGTTCCTGCTACATTATTGCTACATGTTCATTTTCTGGAACGAGGCCTAACCTTGCCCTGTGGCTAGTCATGTTTCCTGCACTACAGTATTCTTAGTAAACTGATGCCAAACGAACGTAGTTTATTGTAGGCTTATTGTGTCTAACATTTAAACATTAACATGATCTAGTAAACAATGAAGAAACAAATCAGTTATTGAAACGTGAAATAAAAGTTCTCCTGTAACATGCCCTACTTCTTAATCTGTTGAATATAGAGATCAAGTTTAATGTCAACTGGGAATTTGACATAAACCTAAAAGTGCTATGTACTAAATTCTAGAAGCTCTACTCCAAAATTCAACCAAGGAGAATGCAACTAAAGTGATGATAGTATTTCTTTTTAAAGCAGTAATTCTATGTTTTTCTCATGAACTATTTATTCTCTTGGTCCTTGTGGTTAACTTGGTGTTTTGTTTTTGTTATGCCTTTTTAAAGATGAGACAGATCTGACAAGCTGTGTTGTAGCATCCATTGCCTGTTGATGGTTCACACTGGGAGTATTTTGTTATCAAGAAGTGACAACAGGTTCACTGCCGAATACCAGGGGAAAGGAGACAACCAAATACCCCCAGCTTTTCCCTGGTGTGCTCAAAGGCCTATGCTCCCCTGGCCACTGCACTACCAATAAACAAATCCAAATTCAGGTTTTATGCAGTCCTCAAAGGTAGGAGACACAGTTAAGGAGAGGAGATCACCCATTGCTGTCTGTAGTATGTTTAGCATAGAGAATACAACAAACTATGTGCATGGGGAAATTAACCTTATTCAAACAAAGTGAGGTCTGGAATGCACAGAGTCAGATGGTAATTTTACAGGAAGGAGAGATAATGGCATTAAATGGTGCATTCTCTGAGTAGTGGACTCACCCTTGGGCCCACATCAAGAACTAAGGTGAAACCTTATGAATAAGGCTCCTGGAAGTAAAAACAAGGACTTAGAAAATACACAGAATCTTTTGTCTTCCTGGTCATTTATCCCATGTAGGAAAATAAATATATAAAAAAATAGGTCATAACAGCTTTAAAATTTTATTTATTAGTATATATTCACTATACAAAATAATAGGTTTCACTGTGACATTTTCACATGTGCTCTGACATGTCCAGCCCACCATTACCTCCTTCCTCTTCCCAAGTAATCCGCCTTCTACTTTCATGTCATTTGTTTGTTTGTTTAATTTGGATCCACATGTAGTATCCATCTGAGCTTATATAGACTTAACAAGATCATCTTCAGTTCCATCCTTTTGGCTGCAAATGAGGTAATTTCACTTTATGGCTGAATAAAACTGGTTTGTTAATATATACATTTTCTTTGTTCACTTGATAGACATCTACACTGATTCCATAACTTGTTTGTGAACAATGCCACAATAAACATGAATGTAAAACATCTTTAGTTTTAATAGTCACAGATCAGAAAAAAATTAAATACCTTCAACAGGTGGATAAAAGAGTAAACCTATGTAATAAAAGGAAAAAATATTGATTGAACTTAGTTGTTATAAGAGGATCTGGCTAAGTAAAAAGGCACAATCTCCAAAGGTTATATTCCAGAAGATTGCATTTGCCTAAGAGTCTTGAAATGACAAATGTATAGCCGATTAGCTGTAGGGTGTGTCAGGAATATAAGAGGGACTGAAAGTTGCTGAGTATGGCTATATACAGCACTAGATGTCTGAGTAAAACAAATCTGTATCTTGTCTGTGGTGGTAGTTATAAAAAATTGTATAATAAAGTTACTAAGAACTAGACATAAAGTGAGGACATCTAAAAGTCATAAAATCTGAATTAAGATCTACAGATCATACCAGTATGTTTCTTAGTTTGTTATAAAACCATAGTTACATGTCACCCAAGGGCAAACCAGGAAGAAGGGTATTCAGAACCTGCTTGTACTATAATATGTAATTTCTTGTGAATCTTAATTATTTTAAAATAAAGAAGGTCTATAAAGCATCAGAAGATAGATCCTCTAATCCACAAAAGTCTTCATTACTGGAAAATACCTTGTTTCACAAAAAGAACTCTCCAGAAATAATTTTTTGTGTGTGAGTGCTAGGGATTGATTCCAGGACCTTTGAGATGGTAACAAAAATTCACTAGAAAAGCCATTCTAAGGGATAAACCCACAGAAGCAGCTGGGATACATATCTGGTTTAAAAAAAAAAAAAAAGCCCTTATTTAAGAAGTACAAGGACCTGGATATAATGTAAAAAAATTAAATTCTTTAGCATAATATACTAATGTGAATATGAAAAGTAGCTAAAGTTTATAACTAAACAATAAATGAAGATATGAAGTGGCTGCTGACAAAAGTCGGGAAGGGAAAAAAATGAAGAAAAAGATAAAACAAAACAAAAAACCCAAACTCCAAAGCGTGCAAATGAAGACAATTATCATGTCTTTAAGCAAAACAAAATGTATCAAAAATGGAAATGAAAGTAGAAAATGAAACAAGTTAATTTCAAAGTCATGAATGTGAAAGCCAAAGAAGACTGAATATAATTAACTGGAGTCCAGAAGACAAGATGAAACATGGATTCTCAGAGGCTGATCTGGAATGAAGGACAGTTGATAACAACTGGATTGGCCTCTCCAAAAAGTCTATGTTGTAAGATGTGGGAAAAATTTTTCTGTACTAAAACCATCTGCTGCAAATCAAATTCTTGTCTCAAAAAGCAGTTTTTTGGACAGTTAAGGAAATCTGAGTATGTCTTGTTACGAGGTAATGTAATAGGTGTGATGTATTTGTTTTTAAGATGTACTTATTCTGAAAAGCATAAGACACAGCTGAGACACTTAAGGGTATGATATCTGTAATTTCAAAGGTTTAAAAATCCATTATATATGAATAGATATACATATATAAATAGAATATAGCAAAGTATTAACACCTTAAATCCAAGTATAGGATGTATTTCCAATGTTTGAAAGTTTACATGGTAAAACAGGTACAGCACACACCTATACATTTTGCTGTAATTTATTAAAACATTACAATTCTCATGTCTTTTGGAGAAAATATACCTATACACAGCCTCACATTTGTTTAGTGTAAGTGGCATTCAAGCTTCAGGTGTTACAAAATGTTAAGTTTGCTGTGGTGGTGCCTCAGACTGAAGTGATAGCACCTTGCCTGTTAAATACATCTATTTCCTTCTTACCCTGAAGTCTGTGTCCCTCCATTCTATAAAGGATTACAATTTGTCAACTGACAAATTCAACCCATACATGAAGCTATAACATTTTAAAAAGGAAAATCGTTCCATAGTATTTTTCCTTATCTGGGCTGGCTTCTACAACACATCACTTAAGTTCTTTATGCCAGGAACCCACAACATCATAAACACCTAACTCTTGTTTTACCTTTTCTCTAAGATAGCAGCTTTCAGTTAGTTACAACCTGAAAACCATTCTCTCATATGCCACCTGTTCACAAAGGCTTCTTTTAAAAACCTCTCATCCTGATGTGATCAGTTCTTACATATCCCATACCATTTTTTCCTATTGGCATTCCAAATTGAAAATGTCTGTATGAACCAGTGAAGTGTATTACTGCCACTCTTAGGGCAATGTGGCAGTTTCTTTTACCCATTTACTTGTGAAGAAACCCAGAATTTTGTACATTTATTGTGTAAAATGGTCACACATCAAAGAACTGGGGAAAAAAGCCACAGAATCATTATGGTTAATGTTTCATCTTTATAAATCAATGAAGTGCAAAGTGTTAGGTACATTGTTGCCTTCTCCAAAAAGTTCTCAGTTCTTGTCACAAACCTGTAAGCAACTGAGCAGCTTCTGTCTGTATCTAAAGTGAAAAAAACACATTACATATAAATAGTGCAGCCAGAAACTGAAAATTGTTAATTAGACTGGTTTCTAGGAGTTTCAAGATAATAAAGACAGGACATGGTATGAATAAGGTCTGTGGATAGTGATGATTAGATGAGACTCCAAGAGAACTCTAGTTCATTCTCTTAACCTTCCATATCCTGCCCCCAACCCCATTCCCCCAGTGTCAGAAATTGAACCAGGTCTTTGTGCATGTCAGGTAAGCATCTATGGCTGAGTTGACTCTTACATTTTAGAAATCACATCTGATTGTATATACACATCAATTAATTCTACACTGCAGCAAGCAACTTATAACATTTGGTGATATTAACTAAAGAGTTCTCATGTTAAACTGTAAAGGTAAATAAACAAATGGGCACTTGTACTTTCCACAATACTATGCATTTAAACAATTATGCTTTTAAAGACGTTCTCAGTTCATTTATTTACTAATGCCTCAATGAAAGCCTATCTGCCTTACTTTATTACAGATATTTTACCTGTTTATCTTCTTCTGTATGTGCTGGATAACCCTTGGCTTTTACCAGCCAGAAAGCAGCAAGCTTTTTGTTGTTTAGCTTCAAGTATGTCTTTCCTAAAAGCAGCAAGTTTTTGCTGTAGAAGTTTGGATCCACTGTACATAAGGAAGAGAAACAAAGTCAGCTCCAGAGAAATAGTGTTTTTATTTTTATAGGTTTAAATTTTTTGGTCTAAATTCTAATAAAATTGTGTGGTAAAACAATGATTAGGCTAATATAATTATTTTGTTCAATTGTTACCTTTTAAAAACCACCCTAAGATAATTATGTATTGAATATACTTATGGGCTCCATATATTATTATACCAAGGTCTCACTTTAAGAATTAATTATATGGTATCTTCATGCTGATAGAACATGAGCTATATAAGAACCATTTTCTTTTTAAACCACCCATCCTTATTATATTCCAATTGCCTTGAATAGTGTAGGGGAAGTAATATACTTAGTGCATTTGTTCAGTGAATGAAGGAATGCATGAATGAAGTCATGGTTAATATAAATTTGATCAATTTGTTAAATGTCTCCTATACTTAGGTACAGAGAGGGAAACATGAACACAACTAAATACTTTGCCAGATATAAACTTATGTGCTATAAGAAGCCACATTTAAAAAACAAACAAAAAAAGACAACAACTAATTGATAAACATCTTGGAGGATGAACAGGATTTTAACAGATAAAGTAGAGAATATTCTTGGTTGAAAGAAAAGTACAGACAAAGCTTAGCAATGTGAGAATAGAATAGTGGTTACCAGAAGCTGGATAGGGGGTCACAAAAGTAGGGAAATATTTTTAACAATTTACTATATATTTTTCAAAGACTTACAAGACTCCAGTACTTCCCAATACAAAGATGATATATGCTTGAGATGGAGATAACTTTTGATTTGATAATTACTTTACGTATGAATATACTGAATTACCAATGCTCCATAAATATGTATAATTATATGTTAAATAAAAATATTTTTTAAGAAGCCTATGAATGCAAGTATAAAAGAATCCTCTCACTAACTTTTTGTTTTATGTTGTTTTTTTGAGAGAGAATTCTGTGTAGTCTAAGTAAGCCTGGAACTGAAAAATTCATTGTAACTCAATTTCACAGTACCTCAGTCTCCTAAGTGCTGGTGGTGACAATAGGCATGCACACCACACTCAGCTCTAACTTCACATAGTTTCCTCTTAATAATCTTGGTCTTTCTTTATTCCAAGCATGCTTTCTTAGGCCAGGGATGAAGCTTGGTAATAGAACACATGTCTAGCACATACCAGGGTCTAGGTTTAAAAAAAAACAAAGCCTACTTTTTCCTGGATGTAACTTATGATTACCTGCATTTGCTTAAAACTCAAAGTCATTTAGTTTCTTGGATTTCAACATTTTAAGGTTAAGTACACTGATTTATGCATCTATATCCTCATCCAGGAAGTCAGCCAAGTATCATATGTGAAGAAATGGAAATATAATCATGAGCCAAAAGAAAAACATCCCATCTACCCACACACAGCCTTACACACACAAACAGCAGAATCAGGAGACCCATATGGGAGGTGTATGACACACAACATGGGAGGGGCTTCTGGACTAGAGGCAGGCATCCTTATACTTACAGAAAGTGACGGCTCAGATAAAATCCTATGTCCAAGTGGAGTCACCAAGGATTTAACTCCATGAGCAGAGGAGCACAACTTCATTTAGGACTGCCAAACCTTATCTTAAGGTCTAATTTTTGCTTTAGAATTATAGTTTCAAACCCCTTTGAGATAATTTCATTCGTGATTCATATTCATGAATAGGATCAGTTCATATTCATAATATGGTCAGAAAAAAATTATCAATAAAATGAGCAGTGAGCAAAACTTTGAGTTAGAAATATTTAACATTCAAACATAGTTATCACCAAATTGCTTAAGCACCTCAAATTAAAAAAAGATACCTTAGTTTTCTGTTATTAGGAATTGTGAGTATCATATGCCTATAAAATTCCAATAATTGGAAGCTGAGGCAGGAGAATTGTTACATTGAGGCCAGCTTGAGGTTTGTAGTGAGAACTATCGAAAAGAAAATGAAAAGGTATTTGGAGTGGCTTTTATGGTACATTTGGTCACAGACACTTCTTTTTCTTATTGTTTCTTCTCATTTGGGGGACTGAACTGAGGGCCTTGTGCATGTTAGCAAAGCCCTGTGCCATTGAGTTAACAACCACAGTTCTATATGTTTTTTAAGGAGAAATATGTAGGACAGGCAAGCAATAGCACTACAGGAGTAGCCTTTTTTTTTTTTTTTTAAATCAAAGTAAGAAAAACAAACTCTTTCACAATGGAATGCAATATACTGCATTAGCCTGGATTTAAATAGTTTCCATTTAGGTGCCTCTAACTATAAAATATCAAGTTAGACAATTTGTGCAAGCTGCCTAATAAAAAAATTACATTAAATGATGGGAACATTCCTGAATTGGAACTCTGAATTTAAGTGCAATTCCTACTTAAGGAATTAAATAAGTGATCCTTATTTAAAAAAAAAATTAAAATTTGAGGCTGGAGAGAGGATTCATGGTTAAGATCACTGAATGTTCTTCCAGTGGACCTGGGTTCAATTCCCAGCACCATCATGGCAACTCATAACTGTTAACTCCAGCCCCAAGGGGATGCCTCTTCTGGTCTCTAAGGACACCAGACATACATGTGGTACACAGACATACATGCAGGTCAAATACCCATACATATAAATTTTTTAATTTAAATTTTATATTATCCAGTGTGAAAGATAAAGCAAATATATATTTATCTTGATTTAAAATTTTCTATGACATAGCCAACACCGAGACAATATTATTCGAATAGTTGAAATAAAAGTATTTCACCTTGTTCTGCCCTGTGAAAGTATTTCAAGGCCTGTTAAGAATACAAAGAGTAAAATAGAATGGAAAGAATTAGATTCAATAACTCAGGGGAAAAAAAACCCATATTTTCTTTAAGATTTATTCTTACTATTAAAGGTGTCAGGAAGTAAATGATTATTAAAAAATAATAAGTTCAGTAAGGAGATTTACATAGGTTCAATATAACACTATTAAATCATTAAAAACTAGGATTTTAATAATGAAGATCACTTCTTATAATTACCTGGTTGCTACTTAAGAGTTTGTACCAGACTATCCTGGCACAAAGTTAAGGAACTGATCATGTGGAATTCAGCTGCTACCTTTCTCCTAAGTCATGATAGTCACACTTCTAGTACAAACTAGATATGATTAAATGGTGAATTCATTCACTGCTTATACTTTTTGTGTGTGTGTGTTTGGTTTGGTTTGGCTTTGACTGGGAATGGAAAGAAACCAGGTTCTTCAACATCTGATTGTATACCATAGATTCCTAGGGACAAACAACAACAAATACTCCTTACTATGATAGAAGAAATACTAGGATAATTTTTTCCTTATATTTTGAAAATTAAGTGATTAAATAAACTTAAGATTTTCATCCAGTAGGCTAGGAAGGTAGGTCAGTGGTAAGATCCTGGTTCAAACCCCAGCATTCAAAGGGTGGACTTTAAAGCTTGTGTACAAATTCTTTTCAAATTTTATTTTTATAGGAAAATCAAACAGCCTTTAAAATATGAGGAGCCTTTCACACTCAATAATTTTTTTAAATCAATTCTTACATGTCCTTCATTTCTCTAGATGACTTGCTATGTATAATATCTAAAACTTACTGGATAACAATTACTATATTTCTTCCTCTATTTTATGACTTCTATGTGGTATAGATTACAAATAGAAAATGGAGGTCTGTTTTCGCCATTAGCTACTTTAGCTGACAATATACCAGAATTATCAGCCTAAACCACTCACCTAAACAACAAGAAAAAAAAAAAAAAAAAAAAAAAAAAAAAAAAAAAAAAAAAAGCACTCACCAGTCCTGGACAGTAAGTATTAAGCCTTTGTGATATTGTTGAATTGGATCATTAGAAACTCGCTCAAGTCCCTCACAGAATCAGATCTCCATATGTGTGGACACTGTAGAATGGTACTGTAGTTAAGAAATCGGTACTAACTTAACAAAGGACATCATACTACCTCCTCGTAGGTGGAACTAGGAGGATTTGCAAACAGCACTTTAGCAATTCTTCTTTGATACCAAGGCATTTCAGCAAATGTATAGCACCTACAGGGAAAGAAAGAGATAGCATTACACATTCAAATTGTACCATTTTTACTCAGAGAACCAAACATTTTAATAGATATTATAAAAGGAATCCTCTATTATATTTTTAAATAATTGGAACTTTACATGATACATAGTTGGTTACTATTTATACTTAGTTTATTATCTAGAGACAGACCTGATGCAGAAGTTGGGTCTATTTTGTGATTAAATGTAAACAACTGTGGTCACTTTGTACCAGGTACTGGACCAACATTACTCTCTTTCTTATTTGTTCCTTAGAACAACTAAGTGACACAGGACCGTAATTACAATTTGTTTTAAGTTTTCTTTTGAGAATGGGTTAGATGTATCCCAGGCTAGCCATGAACTCCTAATCCTTTTCTGCCTCATCTTCACTTTTGAAGGGCTTATGCCTGGCTTACTACTAGTTTTGAATAAGAAAATTCAGAATTTTTTTAAATGACAAAACAATGTACTATACATGAATAACAATGTCAGCCACTAATTTATGCCCATTTAAAAAAGAGTGAAGTAAGTGATTAGCATCCAAAAATAATGACAACTTTCTGAAGTAGGAAAAAAACTGTTTCAGATCTTTGACTAGAGACTGAACTCCTTGGGCATAGATTGTATCACACATTTGCTTTTTGATTAAGTGGCTGTCCTTTGATAATTATAAATCTTCAGTGGGTAGTTTATCTGAAAAGTATTTCTTTTGTAGAAGAGTATAATAGACCAGCAAATATTTAAAACATTGGTAATGCCCTCATACCAGCAAAATAATTCCTCATATTGGACATAAGGTCACATTGAAACTGGAAGAAAGATTACATAGTTCTCCAGAATATTCAAATCTCAATCTGATGTTTTGAAGATACAAAGACCTCCTGTGGCAACCTACTGTATTTATAAGAATGCAGTTTTATTTAGCATTGTAAATGAGGTCTTTCCCAAGAAAGGAAATTTAAAGGTCTACAGAAAAAATCTTAAAGTCTTTTTAGTTTTCTTGGGATTTTTATTTTTCTGGTGGTGAGAAAGAGGGTTTTGAGACAGGGTCTCATGTGAACGATGCTGCCCTGAACTCACTAATGTTCCTGCCATTGTCTAAGTGCTAGGATTACAGGCATGCACCACCATGTCTGTCTACATTTACTATGTTCTAACAATACATACACAAGTGCTATTTAGTGATTTAATACTCAGCTCTGTTAAATAGTATTTTAAATAGTTTATTTTGCTTAGATATATATTGTAAAATAAAATAGTGCTTATACATAGTACGAAATAAGATCATACTAAATAGGACAGAAACATTACTGAAATTTTCTTACCAAATACCCATAAGGTGAATTGAAGTAGCATCTTTAGGGTTCAGCTCAATGGCTTTCTGTTAAGAAATAAAATCTTTCTAAACACCAAAGCAGCAGTGAATTAAAAAAAGAAAAGTATAACCCTGCATTTTAAAGGTTTTGTGTGTGTGTGTATGTGTGTGTGTGTGTGTGTGTGTATGTGAATAAATACCACATACGTGCAGGTACCCATGGAAACTAGAAGAGGGTGTTGGGCCATTTGGCACTGGAGCCACCTAATGTGGGTTCTGGGAATTGAACTCGGGTCTGCTGGGAGAGCAGTCTCAGCACTTTCAACCACTGAGCCATCTCTTCAGCCCCAAAACCCGCATTGTAATCAAAAACAGCGTTTTCCCTCAGGATATAGTCTTCCCCACCTACACTGCCCCTCCATGTGTGTTTATATGTGTTTAGGTGAGAGCTTAAAGCCAGATGTCTCCTCAGTCATTCTCCACCCTGATTTTAAAGACAGGGTCTTTTACCAAACCTGGAGATCACTGACTGGTTAGACCAGCTGGCCAGCAAGTCCCCAGGATTCTCTTGCCTTTGTCTCAGCCCACACTAGACTTAGTAGTGCACACCTCCACACCTAACATTTTACGTGGATGCTGAGTAGTTAAGCTCTGGCCCTCATGGTTGCATGTCAAATGTTTTATACACGGTTATCTCTTCACCCCCATATTCTTAATTGGTTAAAGTTGTTCCAATACACTATTTAAAGACTTAGACTAAAGATATATTTTACAAGTTTCAGAAATTGGTTTAGGAGGTGAGAAACCCCATAAAATATACAAATTAATCTAATTCTGAAAATAATTTAATAAAGTACAATTGTTACTATTTCTTTAAGATAAAAGGAAGGGTAATAAGTCCTTTTTGACAAATTTAATTGAATATTGGAGAAAAGTCTTCCCATTATCACCTCCCCCCAAATCAATGTGACACAAAACCATTTTATGTACCCCTTTAAAAAGAATAAAACATACTGCTTCCAGAGCTGGAGGGATGGTTCAGCAGTTAAAAGCACATGCTGCTCTTGCAAAGGACTTGGGTTTGGCTCCCAATACCCCTGTGACAGGTTACAACCATCTGTAAGTACAGTTCCAGGGGTTCTGACACCATCTTCTGACCACTCTGGGTACTGCATGCATGTGGTGCACATACATATGTACAGGCAAAACACCCATTAAAGAAAAAAGAATACTACTTCTAATTTATACTGTAAGGTAACACTAATTCTGTGATGTAATCTTAATTCAGGCATATTAAAATATAGGACATATAAACAAACTGTAATATGTAAAAATGCTTGTTTGAGAAGTTAGGTGTCCTGATTTCTAGTCCAATGTTATTTTTCTCTAGTAATTATATAAGCCAGAAACTGGGACTTGTAGCCATCAGCTCCTGAGGAGTTACTGAGTAGCATACCCAGCCCATTCCTACATGTGCTTTGAGATGATCTACAATAATAAAAGATTTTTAAATGCTGAACATTTTGGTAGTTTTGTTCTCTGTGTAAGAATAATGAAATAGTGTGCACATAGAATATGAAATATATAGATTTCTGTGTAATTTTTACCACTGAACAAAATTACTAAAAGTAAATTAACTTTAGGGAGAAATTTCAAACAACATAAAATATACACAGCATAATCATAAAATTATTACTACTAATAAAGGTGTGTCAATTGTATTAGACTATTATATTTTAACTAATGGGCATTCAAAACCTTCCACAGAAACTGGCTTAGCCTGTGACTTTTTTTTTTGAGACAGAGTCTCTCAGAATTGTCTTGAACTCACAGATATCTCTGCTTCTGAGTATGTGTATTAAAGGCATGTGCCACTACAGATAGCAAATTTTTAAATTAAATACAGTGTTATCAGTTGTGCTACAAATGGTTTGAAAAAGTTTGTACACTGGAACTTTTCTTTTGGAGATTCACTCTTGAATGCCATCTCTCATACTGTAGAGAAGCTTGGGCTAGACCCCTAAACAACAGGACAAGTAAAGAGGAACTAAGCTAGATGAGAGGCCATCTTGAATCTCCCAGCCCTAGCTAAGTAAAGCACATAATGGTTGTAGCTCTACCAAGCAAGGCAAAAGCACTAATACATTCAATTTACCCAGAAAATTGGAAGAAATAATGAACTATTATTGCTGTATTCCACTAGGCTTTGGCTGTGCTTTTTAAAATGAGATAGGTCTTGTTCTGTTTCCTTGGATAGGTCCCTAACTCCTAGGCTCAAGTAATCTCATGCCTCTGTCTTTCAAGAGTTGGCCTACAAGTATGCAGTAACATGTTCTCTATACAGTAATTAAAATGACAACACATCCACTCAGAAAACTACTGACTTCTTAAATTCATGAACTTAAATCAGTACCTCAAAATGTTCCTTGATAATGTAGGCATTTGCAATCTTGACCTTGATGCCTTCGTAGTCTCCAACATCACTAATGCAGATCGCATACCACTAAAAGTAGGAAAAATAAAAGATGAGAATACTGATCGTAATAAAAATTACACGAGTACTCTCCATTGTTATTCTCATTTAGCCAAATGTTACTTAGCATAATGATGAATTAAGAACAAAAGGTACAAATAAAAGAAGACATGGCCCCCTAGGAACTAAAGGATAGGACACACAGAGCTATAATACAAGGTAGAAAGTGGTAAAATCTAAGACAATTGCCAATATAATAGAGAAATAACATCTGAATATACATTTAGATAGGGTTGTAACTGAATGACTTATTGTACTGTCTCATCTCCTTTTTCAACATCTGTATTGCTGTAAATAGAAAGGCACAGCGGCAGCTGTAGCATCACCTTCATAGCCACTGTTGGACAATGGACCCCAACTGAGACGATCTGAGTTTCTCTACAAAGAATTAAGTCTAAAATATCTAAACTTCATAAACTCAGGTGTTATGAAGAGCCACCAGATTTATGGTATGTTTAGGAAAAAAATGTCTGCAGTAAAAAATATTTGTGAAGACTTGGAGCAATTGAGCTAGTTTTTCTTGGGGGACCAGAAGGACCTGCCTATGAGTTCTGTGCATGCAACAGTTTCTTATTATATTCCTCCCCTCTGTATGAGCTATAGCTAAAGGATCTGAATACACAACATAAAAAGATATAAATTTATTTAAATCTACTTTCCACAGAAACTTTCTGTGTCCTGGCATGTTTAGTAGAAATAAAATGGCACATTTTGAAACACACATATACACACCTCTCTATAGACTATTATTATTAAATCTCTGTTATCCAGTTGTACAAATTCAGTTCATTAGAAGGGTTAAGCAGGATTTTAAACTTGCTACTCAGATCTCCTCCCACATATCAGAGCTATTGAATAAAATAATCTCTTATGAATGGCTAGTGGTACAGTTCAATGGCAGGGAGTTGGGGTATCATGTGTAACCCACTGTACCACAAACACAAAACTTCCTTTTTAAAAAAGGGATTTATTTAGCTGGGCAGTGGTGGTGCACACCTTTAATCCCAGCACTCGGGAGGCAGACGCAGGTGGATCTCTGTGAGTTTGAGGCCAGCCTGGTCTACACAGCTAGTTCCAAGACAGCTATGGCTGTTACAAAGAAACTCTGTCTTGAAAATCAAAAATAAAAAAGGAAGAAAAATAATTAATTTTATGTATATGGGTGTTTTGTCTGCATGTATGTCTGTGTACTGTATGTGCAGTGCCCTAAGGACAGAACAGAGCATTAGATCCCCTGGAACTAGAGTTACAGGTGGCTGTTAGCCACCATGTGGGTACTGAGAACTGAACCTAGGTCTGCAAGACTAACAAGTGCTCTGAGCCATCTTTCCAGCCTCTAGAAAGTCTTTAATGCATTTACTACCTATACATGAAACAAACATGGAGCATCTTCTCCTTGATTAGCCTTATTTGTTATACTGTTCCTTAAGCTTATACTAGCAAGAGCTGATGTCATGCTTATACTAGCAATAGCTGAAGTATGCTAGTTAGTGTCTTCTCTTTCCATATCCACCCATTTCAATTTCTAAAATGTCCACTATTTACAAAGTTTACATTTAAACTTCTGTTGCTGTTGTTGCTGTTGTTGTTGTTGTTGGTGGTGGTGGTGGTGGTGGTGATGTGTGTGTGTGTGTGTGTGTGTGTGTGTGTGTGTGTGTGTGTGTGTGTGTGTGTGTGACAAAATGAGTATGGAGGTTAGAGCACAACTTTTGGGAGTTGGTTCTCCTTTCCTTGGGGGACTAGGAATCTCTTGTTTCAGTTGTTCTCATATTCTAGGCTGCCAGGTGCCAGCTTTATGGAAATTCTCCTGCCTCCACTTCCCACCTCACCATAGGAGTGTTGGAGTTACAGTTGTAAGCCATCCCATCTGGCTCTGCCTCAATTATAGGAAGAATTAATCTAGATGCTGCTCTAGTCCTGCCTAACAGACCTTAAGACAAGTCTCTACAGCATCAGATTGTTTCTGAGTAACTCAACTATGTTTGAGAACACAGCCCAGGAATAATTTCAGTACTACTTAGAGGAGGAAGGGTAAGAGAGCAGTAGCAGAGTAAGACTCTTAGACATTTTTTTCTTCACTGGAATAGCAAATTTAATCGCTGAAACCCCAAAATCCCTTACAAGACCTAAGGGAATAAATTGATGAAATTATAGCACCTAGTGTTAGCCTTCTAATAAGAAGTACTAAAAAAAAGCAGAGGGAGAAATTTGCCAGTGTATGCTACCCCCTGTTCCAGGCAGCATGTTATGGAGAATACCCTTCCTCCTTGGTTAAAGTAGGGAGAGAGAATCAGTTCAAGCTTTTAGATTTACAAATCAGTACCAGTCCTGCCAAAGTAAAAACCATTACTTCTTAATATATTAATGTAGTTATTACTTTTTTAAAGTCTCTCTATTAAAGAAACAAATGGATGGATGTTATCAAACCAAAGGAAGATAACAACAACGAAGACAACAGTAGAGATACAACAGCAAAACTCCAAGAAAATACTAGCAATCAGTCCAGTATCACATTAAAGATTATTTACAATAATGAATAAGTGACCAAGCAGAGTATTCACCAAAGCAGGATTCCTCTCAGAGGTGAAGGATCACTCAATGTACATAAATTATGTGATACACTACATCAACATACAGAAATCATGATTATTTCAATAGCTGAAGAAAGATTTAACATTCATAACAAGAATTCCGAACAAACTAGGTTCAGTAGAAATGAACTAAAACATCATTAAGGACCTACCTAACAAGTCCGCAGTAACATCACAAGACATGGACAAAAGTTTCTTGGATATACTATTCATACTTGAACACAGAAACTGTGTCTAAAGAACTAAGGCTAATAGCCAGCAAGATAGCTCTGCCACAAAGCCTGAGATCCTGAATTTAATCCCCGCGACTCATGTGGTAGAAAGAGAAACCAAATTCCTACAAATTGTCCTCTGACCTTCACAGGCAGGCTATGGCATGCTCAGGTGTACACACATACACACTAGATAAATGTATTTTTTAAAATAGAAACTAAAGGGGGTTGAGAGATGGCTTAGCAGTAAAGGGCACATAATGTTCTTTCAGAGGACCCAAGTTTGAGTTTCCAGCACTCACCTAAGGGCTTACAACTGTCAATAACTCCACTTCTGGAGATCTAGCACCCTGTTTGTCCTCCTCGGGGTAATGCACACATGTGGTATAGAAGTGCACACAGACAAAACACTCCATACATAAAATTTGAAAATAAAATATTTGTTTAAAAAAAAGGAATAAGGTTTTGCTATAAAAATACCAATAAAAGAAGGAGCTAAAAAACAAATTTTTGAGGTGAAAATACTGAAAAAGAGCTAGACAGAATTACAGGTACATGCCTGTAATCCCAGCACTAGGGAATCTATAGGCTACAATTTATACATATGTTTAGTTGAATTGAAAAGTTCAATAGCAAGAGCTCATCAGCAGACCTGAACAAGTTGAAGAAAAACATCAGCTAACATGAAGATATATCCACTGAGATTATCCTGTCTGGTCAGACGAAAGGAAAAGGAATGAAGAAAAGTAAGCATAGCTTCTGAGAACTGTGGGGTAGCACTAAACCTACCCATACATGGAAGTTTCAGGAGACCAGAGAGAGAAAGGCACTAAAAATTGATTTGAAACTCCAACTTGCAAATCCTTCCTTACTTTGAAGAACAAATCTCAAGACAGAAAAATTCAGAGAGCTCCACAGCAAAAGGCACAAACCATCAAAATAGGATGATCCCTAAAGCAGCAGGAAAGAGCCACACATCAGTACAAAACATCTTCTTCATAGGGGTTAACAGCATATTTCTCACCAGTAGCCATGGGTGCCTGTCTTAAGTGGGCTTGGCTGCTGTAACAAAACGCCATTGGCTGGGTGCATTAAACAACACAGCCCTATTTCTCACATTTGTTGCAGAGGCTAGGAGGTCGAACACCAAAGTGACAGCGAATTTTGTCAGAGTAAGCAGAATAAAGATACATAAGAACCAATCTCTATATACTAATGAAATTGATTCCTGGCCCAAAGTACATTGCTATAAACTATAATTCTAATGAAAATAAGCAATAAAATGAAGGAATTAAACACATGCATATAATCTAATACCAAAAAAAAATAGACATTAACTGAAGAACTGAGAAACAAAATGACATGACAACATAAACAAAACCAGCAAAGTGGAATAAACAGTTCCTCCAATTATTGAGTAGAAACTGATCTATATATGATCTATACATGAATCAATATACGTTACATAACACTGAGATTCAAAGAAACACAGGATAAGGGTAAGAACATATAAGTGGTACTTCATATAAACAGTACTAGAAAGAGATGGAATGGTTACACTAATAACAGACAAAATGACTAAAGACCAAAAAAAGTATAGATGGAAAATACAATCTAGATGTAACAATTGTAGAAAAAAAATACACATAACAGAAGCCCAAAATATCCAAAGACACTGAAAGAGAAAAAATGGATCATTCAGCTATTTCAACACCCCACTTTCAAGAATGGATAGAAATACTAAATAGAAACCAGCAGGGAACAGATTTGAATACTGAAAACCAATTAGATTTAACAGATGCAAAATATTCAACCCACCTGAAACATATTTAATGATTAAAAAATATGCCAGCCCCCTGCTGAACTGACAGGTAGGTGACTCTAGATACATAGTGCCCTCCCTATACCAGCCTCTGGGAACCTAGGGCAAGTGTCATGGAAGGATTCTCTGAGTCTTGGCAATCAGGACACCTCTGGAGCAAACCTTAGCCAGAACTATGCAGTGTTCTACACAGTGGAAACCTGCTCTGAGCCATACACTGGGAGTGAAACTCACTAGGTCCTTGGAAGAAAAGATAAGCAGTGGTAAGAGCTTAAAGGTACTAGGTACTAAGGCATACCATTGGAAAAACTGCTAACAGCCCTGTCCACTTCCTAGAGACTGAAA